TTAATTAACTTAAATTCTCTTAGGGTCACAAGGGATCACTCAAGCCAAATCCAAGAGCCCTATCTCACATATTTTTCTGAACTCTGCTACATTTGGCTGTCACAATCCTATTTTAGAGATTTTCCTTTTCCACCCTGATTTCTGTAGTGACTTCTTTCTTAAGTTATTCATTCTTGTTCTCCTTCTCTTGCCATAGGTTATCTTAGACATCCTGTTACATTTCTCTGTCTAAATAAACCCACTCCACCTTGCAGTTCACCCTGGAAATGGTTGTCCCAAGTATGTAGTTAAGGCTCTAATTTATATCTCTACTCCTGTAATGCTGCCATTTCCTGTTTGATGAATCTATTCTATTTTTAGGCTTTCATCACTTCTGGCCTTCATTAATTCCAACTGCTGCCTGATCCTATGCAGTATTCATTTCTTACAGCAGTTATGTCCCAAAGAGTAGGATACAAATGAGTACTGATGGTATATTAGATGATTTTAAGTAGTCCATAGAGGAATATTTAAAATTACATGTTTAACACATGTTGGGGGAAAAAACTCTAACACCAAATAATCACATAAATCTTTCTTTTAAACTCACTTAATTAAAAGATAGTAAGCTAAATTAAACAAAAATATTGACAGATGGTTTGAAGATAAAGCAAAAATTGTGAATGACTAAAGTTTGAGAAACACTGGCCACTGGGAAATCCACGTAGTATAGAAGTTAAGCACTCAGGCTCTGGGTCAATAATCTGAATCTCACCTACTAGCTAAGTAACTTTGAACAAATTACTACATCTCTTTAAATCCAGTTTTCTAGTAGTGTAATGGGAATAAAATAATCCACATTCTAGGCTTATTGTATGGAATGAAAGAGATAATCCTCAAAGTGTTCTTAGCTCAGTGCCTGGCATGGTAAGTGCTCACTAAATATTAATAATTACAATTATTCTTAGTCCCTCCTGGCCATCATGCCTTCACTTGTAACCAACTGGGCACTAGACCTATACTATGGACAATTTTCCATATATGAATTTTCTGCCCCAAATTTCCATTACCTGTCTGTATATCTTTATTTTTATATTCTGGTATGAATCCAAAGATCACATGATAACTTTTAATATTGATCCTTAAGACTGTGAACATCTTGGCAGTACGAACCAAAAGCCATTTTCCTCTCATGCACTGTGCCTTACAAAATTAAAAGAACCTGTAATGTTTGTTGAATAAATCTAAAAATTAGTAAGGATAATCTGAGGCAAAAAAATCTCACAATGTACAGAACATAAACACAAACTATTTGAAAGCATCTGATACTATTCTAATAGGTAAATAAAGGGGGAAAAATGACTGGGGCATTCTTTTGCTCCACTAAGACATTTGTCAGTTGAACCTTAGTTGTGGGTCTAATCTTTCTGTTTCCTAATCTCATTTACTCAATAACATATAATAAACTCTAGATACATGCCAACCACTGTACAAAGTGATAAGACACGGAAACAGTCTAGTAAAGGAAAACAGACTAATATCAGAAGGCAGACAAGAAACAGAAAACTACTATATAATGTTATGTAAATAATACCCAGTATTGGGGCTTCCCTGGTTGGCACAGTGGTTTAGAATATGCCTGCCAATGCAGGGGACACGGGTTCAAGCCCTGGTCCGGGAAGATCCCACATGCCACGGAGCAACTAAGCCGCCCGTGTGCCACAACTACTGAGCCTGTGCTCTAGAGCCCGCGAGCCACAACTACTGAGCCCACATGCCACAACTACTGAAGCCCACGTGCCCAGAGCCCGCTCGCCCCAACTAGAGAAAGCCCGTGCGCAGCAACGAAGACCCAACGTAGCCAAAAAAAAAAAAAAAACACAAAAAACCCAATAGTGTTTTTTTAATACTAGATGTGCTTCACAAATGCTGATTATGTCCTGCTCTTCTTTAATGTAGAGCACCTAGCAGCACCACACATGGGTGAGTATATTACATTGACAGTAATAATTCCACTGCTATCTTGTGTTCAACTCTAGGTATAGGCTAACCACATAAAAGTTTCTGTCAACTAGACAACTGTTGAAACTCAGTAATAGCCCTTGTTCTGATTTGCCAGAAAATATGTGCACACAAGCCCCCAAAATGTGACAGGCATTCTGTCAATCTAGAGCAAAATAATGACTAGAAATATAACTGGCAAAAAGGTCAGACTATATTTAGCCTTTGGGGAAGCGGGGAGGACACACATACAATAAAAACGTTACTGAAATCACCCTCTCTAGAGAACACTTTTACCCCAAAAGATGTCCTGAGTGATGCATCAATGGCATTATTGAGAATTTTTAAATGTTATGACTCAAAACTAACTTATTCTCAAGACTTCAAAGCAACAGTTAACACAGACTGAGACAAGCTTTCATTGTGTCAGCCTATTCATAAGATGACAAGGCTCGCTTTACTGAAAGTATATTAGTCACAACTCAGGCAGACACAACTTTTGGATCTCCTTCATAGTAAGAATAGGGTTCTATACCAGTTTGTGTCAACATTTTATGAATAATCAATTCGTGCCTTACACAAATATGGCATAAACAGCATCTGAAAAACGAGTTCCTCAACTGAATTACAAGCTGAAGTGGTGTTTGGGGGCTGGGGGAAGAAGGAAACCACTTGGAGGGAGAGGAGGACATAATATAATCTTCAAAGACATTTTACTATAAGGACGGTGGGGGGGGTAGGGGTAGAGGGGAGACAGGGACTTGAATGAGGCAGAACGTCTGTATTTTCAGCTATGCCCAATATACTGATCCCAGGGGTACTGACTCTAGAATATGAAGAAATTTTTAAGAAACAAAACCCAATATATAAGTGTAAAAAAAAAGAAAAAAGATATTTAAGCCCAAAAAAGCCTTAAAAAAAAAAAAAGGAAAACTATTTCTTAAGTTCCCAAAGGTATACTCCATTCTGAGAATATACAGGTTACCCACTGCTTGGAAGAAGAGTATTTTCTTCTACCAGTATTCTGTCATTCTCCTTCCACTACCAGTTGACCTTTTACTATGTACTGAGCACAGTAATAAGCTCTTTACATACATTATCTGTGATAAACCTACAACAAGCTTTTGAAGGAATTACTATTACTACTATTATCATCTCCATTTTACAGATGAGGAAATATTTTATCAATAATATAGGCCAGATATCAAAATTTAAAACTTATCTGTCATACCACAGCATTTGAGTTTTACTCGACTGGCTTTTCTATCCCCAGAGTAGCTATAATGTAGTTTTTACACCTTGGAACACTTTAACCTTCACGTGCAACCATGTTTCTATAGTAAGTCAAGGAAAACAAAAACTAGGTTAATAATGCTGTATCTTATTTAGGTCCTATAGTTTGCAAAATTACAAGAAACAGGGAGGCAGTTTGACAGCTTAGAGCATCCCCTTTGCGTTTAGACAACCTGGGTTTGAATCTATACAGCACCATCAATAACTGCCGTGTGACCTTGGTCAAACTACTTTAATTTCTCAGATTTCATTTCCTCATCTGTAAAATGGGGATGATGATAGTACCTCCCTCAAAGGCTTGCTGTAGGATTAACAAAGAGAATGTCTGTAAAGAGCTTATTTATGTGCTCAGTACATGGTAAAAGGTCAACTAGTGGAGGGAAAACGGCCACATTCCAAAACACAAAAGTAAAAAGTCTATATTCTGAAAATTCCATTATGGAAAAGGAGAGAATTACTCGTTGACTATATGCTAGAAACTCACATTCAACCTATTCCTTCTTTTAGGGGATCAATGCATTTGAAGTGGACCAGAAAAGATGCTGCAGTGCATTTATGACACACACCTAAAAATGGCTCCAGTCTGAGCAGCATCTTAATTACCAACAGAGGAGGTTAATCTACTTCTAACAAATGCTGGAGTTGGGCTTAGTGGGCGTTTAAGTATCACCCTATCATTTTTATTTGCGGGAATAAGCTATCAAGCATTTAATCAAAAATCCAGATTCTTCTGGGGGCATTCCAAATGAAAATCTTACAGCACAGTTGCCTACTGTACAATTCCAAGTACCCTGGCGAGGTATGAATCTATGCACATAGGCTGAAGATCGGTCAATGCGTAAATCCGGCTAGCCTTAGTAGCCAGCAAACAGCAGACACGTCGGAAACCTCAAAAGAATCTCAGATCAAGTCAAAACATATACACATCCCTTTAAAGGAATCAGACACATTCCTCTCAAGGGAAGGAAGAATTTCTCAGTGTTCCTATTGGCCCCCTATGCTCTTTTCTTCAAGCCCTAAAGTGGGGCCTTTACCGTAACACCAACACTAATGTTATCTCAAAGAGAGAAAGCTGCGGAGTGAGATTCACCAAGCAGGTTAGGGGATGCAGAGGCCTAGGGTGAGAAAAGACTATCCGAACCCGCCTCTGGAGTTGGGGAAGCACGTCCCTAGCGGAAGTAGGACTGGTCCTCATTCCCCGAAGAGCCTCTCACCGAGCCCGGCCTTTAACCCGGTCTCTCCCGCACACTACTCATTGCAAATTTCACCCTCACTAAACATGAAGAAGAGGTAGGCATTAAAGAGCCTAGATGAGCCCCTGAGTTGTTTGGGGGGACACATACCCACCCTAGGAAAAGAGACCGCGCACCCGCCTATCCCGCGGGAAGGAAACTCCCTTCCCTTACCCGGCAACGCGCGTAATCCCCCTACAGGGCCTGAGTGGGAGGAGGCCGACGGGTCCGGAACTCCCGCTGCAGACCACATGGGGCGGGTCTGACTCCGGTTTTTCCCGCTCCCCAAGCAGGAGGCCGAGGCTCCCCCAGAAGCAGAGATGATGGTAACCAAAGAGAAAAAGAGGATGCCCGGACCCAAGGCCCTCTCCACGCGGCTCCCTCGTCTCTGGGCGCCAGGGTCGGGGTGCGCTCCCACGCCCCGGGCCGCCCCACGCCAGCCCTCCCGGATAGGGCCCGCTTTGATTGCAGCTCCTACGCCCTCGCTTTCCTTACCGGCCAGGATGAGTGTCAAGCTGAGTGTGTCTGCGCGCTTCGAGGGGCTCCGCAGAGCTCTGATAGGGGGAAGGGGAAGGGGAAACTAGGGGTAGGGGGCGGCTGGAAGGACCCCGGGCCCCAGAGAGCCGAAGCTGCGGATGGACAAACCGCCAAAGCACTTTCGCTCCTTCTCGAGAGGGAAATAGCGAGCGAGAAAAAGAAGCAAGATGGCGGCTAGCCAGCCCCTACGTACGACGTCATGCGGCGGCGTACGTAAGGCAAATCCCCGCAAGACCGCCCCCCGGCGCAGAGACGGCCGGATCACGTGAGGTCTCCGTGACGACCCAACCTCGACGGAAGGCGACGGCGCCGCTTGCTGGACCGAGGGAGTTCCTGCGATCAGAGCTCAAGATGCAGGGTGAAGAGTTCGCCTGAGATCTCTCCAGGAACTTAGAGACCTCAATTACAGGTTGTTATGCCTCACGGAAGTGAGCACTCTTGTAGGTGCTGGATAGTTGTGTGAATTGGTTAAAACAACACTTTGGCAGTGTGTATAAAAATTAAACTATGCAGGGCTTCCCTGGTGTCGCGGTGGTTGAGAGTCCGCCTGCCGCTGCAGGGGACGCAGTTCGTTCCCCCGTCTGGGAGGATCCCACGTGCCGCGGAGCGGCTGGGCCCGTGAGCCGTGGCCGCTGAGCCTGCGCGTCCGGAGCCTGTGCTCCGCAACGG